TGTTATAAAAATGGAGAATCTACATTTTCAGTATTTTGTAAATTATAAAAGAAAATATTGTCATGTCTCTCTGTGAATATCCTAGCTCACTACTTTCTCAGTAAAATGTCTTTAACCTTCCTTATGAAATTGTGCATTTCTAGGATGCCACCTGTGGCTCAGTGATTAGGGCGCTGGCCTCATATACTGAGGGTGGAGGGTTCAAACCCAGTCCTGGCCAAACTGCAACAAAAAAATAGCTGGGTGTTGTGGCAGGTGTCTGTAGTCCCAGCTACTTGGGAGGCTGAGGCATGACAATCGCCTAAGCCCAAGAGCTGGAGGTTGCTGTGAGCTGTGATGCCATTGCACTCTACTGAGGGCCATAAACTGAGACTCTGTCTCTGAAAAAAATTTTAAAAGTTGTGCATTTCTAAATACAAGGATTTAAGTTTTTAGGAGTAGCCCCAGAAAAATACAAGTACTGGCCCTTTGGATGTTAACCATGGAAATAAAACCTAGCACTTTTACATTTACATATTTTTAAAATATTAGAAAGTATTAATCATATGCATTCTACACAATTTTAACTACCCAGGATGTCGAGTTTCTATCTCTCTCCACAGCTGCAGTGCTTTTATTTCTTGTGGCACAGAAATGGTCTCTGAACGAACTCCTGTTATTTCAGCACTTTTTGCAAAATACAATACTTCAACCTGAAAGGAGAAAAAAAGTTTTTAATAACAACTCATAGCACTTTTCTGACTGCCAGTCTGAAAAGTTTTCTCATTTTCCAAATATACGACTTTAATCAAAAATAAATTTTATAAGTTAGAGAAAATTAAATTGCCCATAAAAATTTTTCAGTACATCTACAAGTTCAAATTTTAAAAAACTGTTTTATTTTAAGCACAATTCAGACTAATTTCTGGATGCCTTTCCGTTTTAAAAACTTACATATACCATAATCAAAATTAAGCCTGTCTTTACTGACATAAAATTATAGAATCTTTTATAAACATTCAAGCAGAGTGTCT